TCCTTGAAAATATATTAATTATACCAAAAACGATGTACATTATATAGGCTGTTCATATTAAACAATAATTATCAAGAACGAGTTGATTTATTCATGTTTAATTTCAAATAAAGATTCCTGTACGAAAGCGAAACATAGGGTACAAGAAACATAAAGTTTAATGCCGTATACACATGGTATATATAGAACACTGTGGTAAAATATGAGTGAATTTAAGTAACTTTATAAAAGACCATTTTGATCAACATAAATAGCCAGTATTTGATATTCATCTGAGTAAACACAACATAATTTTAAATACACAGGTACCTATAAAGCGTAATTAACCATGATATCATACAACTCTGCATCCCCCACCCACCCCTACCGCCCGTATTGGCCAAATTGTAAAACTGGAAAACAACAAAAACCGATTGCACAGAATAACATTAAGATTGCTATGATGGAGAAATCAGTCATTTTCCAGAAAATGCACTCACTTAATTTATATATTATTGGGTAGAGGGGCGGGGGGGATGCATAGATGTACGTTGTCCACGCTTCAAGTGCCTGACGGTGGATAGCGCGGATCCAGGATATTTTTAGGGGGGGGGGGGTTACACCCCAATCAGACACAGCGTTTAATGTTTACTTTCAGTTTCCCATCAACTTTACCGGAGTCCGTATTTTCGGAAAGGGAGGGGGGGTCCAAGGTCATTTTTCTTTTATTTACTTTACTATGTACAGACGACACCTGATATCTCTCACATATTCTTCACTCTTAAATATCTACCAATCATACAACTCCTAAGGTCAGGCGACACGTTCCTCAGTAATACATATTTTTATCAAGAATGTGTCATTGAAGAACTGCTACTTCAACAAGTTTCTTCACAAAAACTGAGACACCTTACCAGGCATTTGAGCTAGATACCAGGGGGTGCTGTTTTCTGTATGATCTTATTTGAAATAACTTGAATTATCAATATCACGATTTTGTTGTATCTTTTTTCTAAGCCATTTTGAAAACAGTTTGGAAATCACAAAAATAATGTTAATATTATGAATATTTCTTAATATATATTACAAGGAGAAACAGATATTTGACGAAGGTGTCGTCAGACCTCAACAACACCCATGCAGTCTCAAACACATTTGACCTTTCACACTCCCAATCCACCTAATGCGCATTCAACCCCGTGATTATGAAAGACCATCTTTACAACGCATGCTCAGTCTTAAACAGTAATATATATACTGTTGCCAAAGGCTCTTACACAGTACAATTGCTACTGTCTAACGATAAGGATAGAACTCTCTAATAAAAGAAGGTAATAATTTCGATTGCTGAAACTGAAGAAGATAACAAGGCGAGCAGAGCAGCGTGGAACTATGGCGGATCTAGAAAATGGTGGGCATTTTTTGTGTTTTTTTAAATTTATATTGTTGATTTTTATTGTTTAATTTTTTGCATACTAGCCTTTTCACGTTCCTTCTAATGTGAAGTGTCCATGCAATCAATGATTGAAACGTGATGCATTTGCATCACACCATAAGGAACGAAACGTCAGTCGTTATTTTTTTTTTTTTTTTTTTTTTTTATACTTCTTAAATATTAAAGGCCTAAAACGAGATTTAGTACAAAACTCAAAGCTGTTCTTGTAATTAAAAAAAAAGAAGAAAAGAATAGGTTTCGTAGAAAAGTTTCTGATAGGAGTTATCGTTGTCAAGCTTCTTAGCACTTTGGGAAGGGGGGGGGGGTGTAACATTAATGCACGCATCATTCAGAAATAGTAGAATAATCGTTATAGTTTTCAAAAAATTATAATGTTTCAATTGATAAATTTAGAATATATATATTTATCTATCACAAAATCCATTTATCTGTTTATATTTACATTTATTGAATGAATTCTAAATTATTTTCACTTAAAATAGCTGATAGTTATATACCGTCTCAAAAATAATAATTTCATTTCCCATAATTTCATTGTTACAGAATTCACATTTAACCAACCCCCCCCCCCTTTTTCACATCCACGTTCTGAATGTTTATGAGTGGAAAAGAAAGCATCTTGTTCATGAACTATGTCCATTTTTTTTTTTTTTCAAGAAATTGATATTAATTATTATGTGGAAAAATCTGGGACACAAAGGAGTGAGTTATAGACCCCCTGCCCTTCCTAAAATTTCTTTGAACCAACCTTGCTAGCTGACATTTTTTACTTTTGTTTTACATCAAGACAGTGGATTTTACTGCATGTATCTTTTTAGTTTGCTTTTTATCTACATGATCTATCTATTCATGAGCATGAATGGTGAAGATACTAATGTATGCAATAGTACATTTAATGATAATAAGTTATTTTACTTAATCAGAATACTCAAATTTGTATTGGCAATGAATTGTCCATTTCCTTACCAGATGATATTACACAAAGGTGTTAAACATGTGTAGTGAAACACATTCAATCAATTATCATAAATGTATTTTTCCCTTTATACCAGATCATGCAGATGATATAACACTGGTATGTTAATTAAATATGTATATACAGTGTAGCAGCATGGAGCATCATTAAAATATCTATCTGGTTTATCTTTATGATTTTATCACCTTATCAGTTTTCCCTGCAGGTATATGTTGTTTTTTGACAGACATTTAGAATAATATTGCTATGATATAATAATTTAATAAAAGTAATAAATGACAATATTAAATTAAATTATAAGAAAAATATAGTTATAAACATGATAAAGGGAATTTATTCCTGATTTAATAAATTCAAAACTTACAGTAATAAATAAATCAAAGATATTGTACAGTTTTTTATAATAAGTTTGAGATATGTGCAAAAAATTAAATATGGGAATGGCTGAAATTGATCGAACTCAAAACTTTTTTTTAACCTCCAGAAAACATTTTTTTATGCATTCTGGAAAATAGATTTTGAATTTTCAGCATTGATATTGAAATTTTCTTGGTACCTACATATCTCATTTTTTTTCATCCTGAAGCCAAGCATAAAAAATTATTTGTTTGCACTTGTCGACCTATAAATTTTAGAATGGGATGGTATGTAATTTTCTTTTTTTAAAATATTGTAGTTTTCACTAAGCTCACTGAGTAAAACATTAACAATTATGGAAGCTGCCTTTAGGTAGTGTAAATTTTAAATTGTTAAAAGCATGGCCACTGAGGGTACCGATATATGAGAACGGTGCCAAAATAGTTATTAATCAAAGTTTTACATTGAAATATAATAAAAACAAATCTCTAGAAATCTTCTTCTCAAGAACCACTGATCCAGAAAAGCTGAAACCTTTGTGAAAGCTTCCTGGGGGTAGTGTAAATTCTGAAGTAATACAAGGGGGTAAATCTGGTGTAGAACAGCAGGGTCAAAGTTACTCAGGTGAGTGTTGTGGCTGTAGACCCCTTGTTATACTCCCCGCTTGAAAGCAGGGGTGTATAATAATGGGGGTCTCCATCCGTTCGTTAGGCTTTGGTGTACCCATCTCTTATCTGCAACTTCTCTTATACCACTGAATGAAATTTAATGAAACTTTCACAGAATCTTTGTTACATATGCCATTGTGACCTCCTAGTATCTTACTTTTTGATCTGACACATATTTTGGATTTCTCTTAGCAAAAAAATGGACCCTGCCATTCTTTCTATAATATTGAAGGGTACCCATTTCTTATCTAAAACTCTAGTTCCTTTACCACTGAATAAAATTTAATATTTTCACAGATTTTTTATTACATAATGCCATTATGACCTCTTATTTTACTTTTTGATCTGACACTGATTTCGGGTCTCCCAGAGCAAAACATAGACTTTGCCATTATATTAAATCATATGGGAGGCAGGGGTATCATTTAGTGAGCTCAGTGCTCACAGAACCTCTAGTTTGTTTTACAATGAAGATGTTTTATTATCAGTTTGTTTGTATGGTAATTTTATGCATATATGCCTTCGGCATTTATGTATATTATCAAGCATACAAACTAATACCTGATAGTATCTACAAACATAAATATGCATGTTTTCTTATTATAATACTTCTTTTTTAACAAGTACAATTCAGCATGTTAAGTAATACTTTGGAATAAGGCCTTAGGGATGGGGCTGAAAGCATCAAAATCTAGGGAATCTTCTAAAAACTTCTTTACTCCTGGACATCATTGAGCTGTCAAACTGCTTGCATGATTGTAATTACCATTGAGCCCTAGCTCTACCAAATTTGAGAAATTCATGGGCACAGGCCAGGGGTTCTGATTTTAAGGTGGGGATGCATCGACTATTGATTATATAATGAAAATGCAGTAATTCTTTGAAAATCTTCTTCTCTGCTTCTGGGTATTAAGTAGATGAACAATGTGCATGATTATAATGAACAAGGGTGCCCATTCCAAAATTGTGAAATATGTGGACCCAGTGTCTGGGGTACTATGGGTGGGACTCTTTTGAGAATGCATTACTTCTTTCATAATCCTCTACTCTCCTTCTTGGTATTAAGTAAACAAACTAAGTGTTTAGTTATGACAAGCGAAGGTACCTCTTTCAAAATTGTGAATTTTATAGCCTCTGGTTTAAAATGTGAACCCAATTCAAATATGGGGAAGTTGTTACATAATACTCACTCAGACCTACAAGGCCTTTGGGCCTTTTGTTTAACATTTTAATTTGGAAACTGTTGGTGAAAAAAAAATTGTTGAGAAATAGTATAGTTGACTTTGGGAAACTTCAGTCATTATCAAAATGATCAATAGTTAATATCATGACATTTTAGAAAGCCATTTTTTTTAGTTACTGAATTGTATCATTATGTTATATTGGTTTAAACAGTACATGTTGAACACTTTACATAAACATAGACATGTATGAATAGAAAATATTTAACTTGCAGTAATTGATATATACATTTTATAATATAAAAAAAATTTGTTTTACAGACAGTTTAAAAAAGTTTCACAGAAGATGTCCCAGTTGTAATTATGAAGGTCATGTAAAAGTGATGGTGTGCAAAAATTGTGGATTTGCATTTCCAACAAAAACAGTGGACACCGACATTTTGATCTCGAAAGGGGAGAAATCACGCGAGGGGAGTAATACCCTTAAAATTCTAGAGAGAATGAGGAGAGATGTATGTAAAATTAGTTTATAGCAAAGCATTTGTACTTCACACCTTTAAATACTTGTCTCATTATTAACTTAATAGTCAATATCTTAACTATATTTTAGATTTATAATCAGGAAGTACCTAGATGTTTAATAAAAACATTTAACTGGCAAGCTTTTATGATAAAGAAATTTTTTTAAAGAATTGTAATATTCATGGCTTTTAAATTCTGAGATAAAATTTCCTTCTGGATGCTTAATTAAAAGGAATTGGAAGCCACAAGTCATAATGTGAATATTTACTTGAATATTCTCAATTCTTTAAATTATAACGCCTAACCATTTTATAATATTGCATATGACAGATTGTCAAGCTCTATGGAGCGGGAATTCATGCTTGTCTGCTGTTCACTACAGTAGATAATCCTTCAAGACAGAGTAGTGGATTCAAGGCATATAGTCCATTGGTAAAACATGTTTTGGCCGACAAAGAGTTTTCATTTTTGGACCTTTTCACCAAAGCTGTAAAAGGAGTCTACTTAAAAGGTTTGTGTTATTTTTATTTTTAATTGGGGAAATCTTTATGTTGAATTCAATGTGATGCTTAATAACATGCCCTTTTTTCCACTGATGTTGAAGATTAAGTTGATCTTTAAAAAATATCATAAAATATAATGTACATGGACTTCTTGTGAAAACTTTTTTTATCTACATGGCTTTCAAAATATTAGAAACAAGCAAAAATAGGAGGTACCTTATGGAAGTCAATCTAATTAAATAATGGTACGGATTATTATCTCCTTCCATCAACTATTTTGGCTTGAACATAAAATACATATGCAGTTAAGTATTAGCTTTAAAACCTGATAATAGTCACATACATGTAGCTTGAATTACTATTTGTACAGTACTTTATGAAGTTCCATTCATTAAATCAAGGGAATAAACTTAAATTAACAAAATTTTAATTAAAATGCTATTATGCAAAATTTCATTGTATTTACAGTACTTTTTAAATTGTTTTAAACATTCCAGAGAAAGTATCTTCTGTGTCAACTACAACAAAATACAGCTGGGCAATCTTCCCTCGAGAATCCCTCTCTTCAGAAATCCAGCATATCAGACACCCTGTTCACTGGAGAACCAACAGCACCTCACAAAACCAAAACTACCCAGATTCCCCCTACACCCTCACAGGCATCTGTCCCACTTTCCACGGTACCTCCTCACAAACCCATTCAGACTCTCCCTACCCCCTCACAGGCATCTGTCCCACTTTCCACGGAACCTCCTCACAAACCCATTCAGACTCCCCCTACCCTCTCACAGGCACCCATCCCACTTTTTAAGGTACCTCCTCACAAACCCATCCAGATTCCCCCTACCCCCTCACAGGCACCCATCCCACTTTCCACGGTACCTCCTCACAAACCCATTCAGACTCCCCCTACCCTCTCACAGGCATCCGTCCCACTTTCCAAGGTACCTCCTCACAAACCCATCCAGATTCCCCCTACCCCCTCACAGGCACCCATCCCACTTTCCACGGTACCTCCTCACAAACCCTTTCAGACTCCCCCTACCCCCTCACAGGCATCTGTCCCACATTCCACTGTACCTTCTCACAAACCTATTCAGACTCCCCCTACCCCCTCACAGGCATCCGTCCCACTTTCCACGGTACCTTCTCACAAACCCATTCAGACTCCCCCTACCCCCTCACAGGCATCCATCCCACTTTCTACGGTACCTCCTCACAAACCCATTCAGATTCCCCCTACCCCCTCACAGGCATCCGTCTCACAGTCCATGACACCAATTATCCAGGCTCCCCCTGCCCCCTCACAGGCACCTGTCCAATCAAGACCAAAGAGATCTTGCCCAAGTATTTTTAGTAAGTACATGTATTACAAGATATTGTAAACCAAGTAGACAAAGATATAAGGTTTGCATAAATTAAGAGTCTGATGTACAGAAATTATTTTGACTTAAATTTTATTTTACTTATCAGTTAATTTTTTATGAATACATTGTATGTTTTCACAGTCACAAAAAATGGTGATACTGGGAAAAATCCACGGACCTCTAATCTAATGTTTTATGATGGTCACTGGAAAATCTTACTTTTCGTGGTATTTTTTTTTTCTTCTGTATATGAAGAGCCACACGGATTCATGCCCTCTTTAAAATGTTAAAATTTTTTCCTGTAGTTTCAAACATATATACCATACATTTTCAACCAAGTTCTCCTTAAATTTGTTGCTGATCAATGATTTATTAGCTTATAGAATTGAAAACATTCAGTAAAACAAAATCTTTCAAAGATATATCAGCCTCATATGAGTACAGATATTTACCCAAGTTCTCAAAACTTTAAATATGAGAAGTTTTTTAAAGATGTTCTGCTTACCATTTTGATTTTCTGCAATTTTTCAATTTTCTGTCTATGTTTTTTTTTTTGGAGGGGTTGTTGTTGTTATTGGTTTTTGGGTTGTTGTTTTTTAGTTGCTTTTTTTACTCCGGTTTTTTTTTTTTTGTTTTTGTTTTTTTGTTTTTGGTTTATTTTTCATCTGCATTATGTTAATCTGCCTTCAAAAAAAAAAATGCTACAAATAGGCTGTGTGTATTATTTTCCATACTTCTGCCATATTCTAACTGTAACAGTTTGTTAATGAAATTGAAAGCATGATCATCTAGCAGTTTTATTATCCCTCTCTTCATTGCTATAGTTAAAAATAATTGTATCCTTTTATTGGCTAATAAACTAATTTTACTTTCCTTTGAAGGGAAAGGACTTGAGACAGAGAAAGAGCCTAAGACAGAAAGAAAAATGAAATCAAGGGAAATAAAGAAGACCAAACTTTCCTCAAAACCAGGTATGTCCATGTATATACATTTATGAATGTGTGTGCATATATGTATTGTGTTGGACAAATTACACTCTGTTTTATGTTTCAACAATTTAAATTATGAATTTATATAATAGAATTTTGTATAATTTACAAAAAAAATATTTAAAAAATTGTACACAGTACATTTTTAGAAACAGTTAGTAATGAAGTGCATCATAATTGCATGCATTCAAAAACCATGCATTTAGCTACATATATTGAGTAAGTTTTTTAGGAAATGAAGACAATTCCAGACAACTATAATTTTGCATGAACCACATCCATGCAGTTAAAACATCAAATGATATGAGTATCACTTAGTGACTCGACTATGGTACTCATGCAGATATTAATTTACAGAGTAAAATATAAGTTTAATAGAAATGTTAATTTTTTCTTCAAAATTTATAATAACACGACTCCAATTTTAAGTGCCATTTCACTTCATTCAGCATTTCAAAAATGTAAAACTGTCTACTTGCCAAAATTTCGTTCTTGCATATATATTAATTATTTTAGTTAAATACAACAATTATAAACAGAATTGAAATTTTTGTCTTGCTTCTAAATACCAAATGCCTATCTTGCAAAAATATTTGTTGCAAAAATTAAGTGATCTACAGCATTTTTAAAAAAAAATTTATTTCACAGATCATATAATTCCCTGGGGATATACGGTACAAATTTAAATTAATTAACCCCAAACTTTATAAATATAATTATATTTTAAATGAATACCAGTATTTTATAAATCAGCAAAGGGTACATTATGTGAACTGGAAATTTTATAGTTATTAAATTTCTATGTTAAATTAATAAAACTGAACCTTGGACCCCCTTCCCACTGGAAACATGAACCCACATTCTAATTCTATGGACAACAAAAATAAGAAAATGGACACAGGAAAGTGTTTTCTACCAACCCAACTCCCTACCCACCCCAGAATACAATTTCCAGGTTTTGGCAAGTTGTTAATTTTTTTTTTCAACAAAGGCTCTCTAAAACTGACATTTGATATGGACCCCCCCCCCCCCCCCGAAGTTTTTGGAAAAATTATGAATTTGCCCCGTTTAATAAGGCAATTTAAAAAATAAATTGTGTGCTCCTGTTTAGGCATCTTTGAAAAATTGTTTTTCCTTTGCCGACTGACTGACTAAAAACAGTTGACTCAAAACTTGTTATAACCCCCTAGAAAACATTAATTTTTTATGCATTCTTGAAAATATGTTTTGAAAATTCAGCATTGATTTGAAAATTTTCTGTGATAGAATTTTCAAACCTACCTACCGTCTCAAATTTTTCATCTTGAGTCAGAATAGGGCAAACAAACATAATTTTAAAGTTGGCCATTGGCTTTTTTTCACTATTGTGTTTCAGTCGACATTAGGGCAAACAAACAATATTTAATAATTTAGACCCTGTATTTCTTGATCATCCAATGCATTCATTTATTGCATAAAACAAAAACATGGGTTAAAATATGATTTTTAACATTCTTTTATGACATTTAAAGAGACAATGTGACGGAAAAATTTGAAAATTGACAAAAGTAGAATTTTTGCAATACAAGTGCAAATTTTATTCAATTCTTGAAAGTATTAGATTTCAGAAAATTACAGGTTTCAGAGCCTAAAAAAATCTACTTTTATGAAGAAAAATAAAATTAAAAATAATTTTAGTTTGCCCCAACACAAAAATATTGCTTCACTTCTTCCTCTTTAAGGTACGCATGCGCAGAAAAGTTGAAGTTACCATGGTGTCAATTCCATAGATATAAATGTCGGATGACCGAGGATTTTGATATAATCTTCAAAAAAAAAAAAATTATCAGAACGTATTCCTCATGTTTGATTGCTCCTATTCAATGTTGTTTATACAAGTTTCACTCTAAAAATGAAAGACACATGACCTTGACATTGACGATAACAACCACGTCATAGATACAATTTTTCTTTTTCCGGCACTTACATTTTGCAGTCTTTTCTTGCTTTTGCCGTGCAGTTGAGATCTCAAAAGTTTGCCTTATTCATATTTCTCTTAAATCTTTAGCTTTATGATACAATTATCTTGAAAGAAACACATGATATTGACTCACTATGTAACTTTAAGGCCGAATAATTTTATATTTTCAGACTCTGAATTGTCTGATTATGTTTTTTTAATATTTTTCTGCACAAATGCATTGTAAATTAAAACTGAAAGATATGTTGTTGTTTTTTATTTCAGTGTACTATGTAGAAAAAATTATGAATGAGAAATCGGAAAGTGGAAAAAGTTTCTACCTAGTCAAATGGATAGGATATCCAGAGGAAGATAATACGTGGGAACCAGAAGAAAATTTTGATCCTGCTCTAATACAGGAGTACAAGGACAATAAAATGAATTGATTTAAATATTGTACATATAATTGTAAAAGTGTATATAGAATTCCCTTTTTGGCCAGATAATATAAATGTTTATGTTTACATAATGATACCTTTACATTTTGCATGGTAAAGATATTGTATTCAGTAAGGTTCCATCCATGATAATGATGATGTATATATATTTATATATATATATATATATATATATATATATATATATATATATATATATATATAAGCCCCACAAGTTTTATTTGTTGTAACTTCATAAAAAACTGAGAATACAGTATTCTTCCAGGTTTGTGCATTTCATGTTTTATTTTCTTCATAATTTTAGGTACTTGAGTCACTCGGATGACTTATTTGCTCACTTTTCTCAGAACCAAATTTCAAACAAAATCGAAAATTGTAAGAAAGCATTTATGTTTAAGGAGTAGCTAATGCTGTGGATTTCTTGGTCTCTGTCTTCATGGGGACTGTGGTGTTGGACCAAAACCACCATCATTATCAAGAACATATTTGCAACTATCAAAAATATACTCCTGGACATCTGCATGTAGCATGCAAACTGTTAGCATGGTTTTTATGAGGAAATATTATGAAATTCATATGTTCTTGGCCTAACATTTAGGCTCATGCGTGGCCAAGGGGTGTGACTGAGTTAGTCAACAATTACAAATTCCAATTTCATCTTCTCCAGAACCATTGAGCTTATTTCAATCAAACTTGGCACTGCATGAGTATATCCTAATGTAAAGAGGATTCAAATGGAGTGCACTCCTTCTTCCCAGGAGAGATAATTCAGAAAAAGTAAAAATTGGATGAGTTCATTTAAAAATCTTCTAAAGAGCCACTTGGCCAGAAAAGATGAAACTTATGTGAAAGCTTCCAGACATAGTGTCAATTAAAGTTTATTTAAATCATGGCCCTGGGGAAAAGGTGTGGCTATGGGTAATTAGTGTTGACATTTGTATAAATAGAAAAAAAATCTTTAAATTCCTCTTCTAAAGAATAGAAAAGGAGTGATTTATCATATTTAAATGGAAGCATCCTCATGTAGTGTAGATTTAAGTTTGTTGAAATCATGACCTCCGGAGTGGGGTGTACCACTATGGGCAATCAAAGTTTGTACATGGATATTTTTTGTTTTAATTTCTTGAGAACAGCAAAACCATGATCAGTCATATATCTATGGATGCATCCATAGGTAATACAGATTCAAATTTATTCAAAACATGACCCCTGGGGATAGGGTTGGACTACAACATTTGATCAAATCTTACATGGAAATATAAAGTAAAAAATCTGCTGATGAACAAGAGGGGCCACAATTACTCAGGTAATGTGTGGTCCATGGGCCTTTTGTCATATAATGTACTCTTGTTCTAGGAGACATGTGTACACTGCACAAAAATCAAATGATAAGATTCAGATTTTTCACGTCACATTGTGCAGAGCAGATATATATGTCATAGTGTTTATACACATTTAAATAGTCAGTATAATAGTAATTAATGATACATACCACAAACAAATTTTCTTATCTTCCACATAAAAGAGTTACACTACATTTTTTCCGGAAATCGCAGTGTTTTTGTGTACATTGGTTCCTATTTCATAGAACTGGAAATTGTAGTTAATGTAAACATGTACAGAACAAAGTCCTTGAGATTTACTATCAAGTCCAAATATAAGCATTTTAGAAAGGCATTTGAAGGAAAAAAGAAGCAGCAAGGTATCACTATAATCAATGTTGATGAGAATAATCATATTCGTTCGGACAGTGTTCATGCAGACTTTAGAGGAGACAAATCTTTCCTGACCTGGTTCAATAAATTTCTTTTTTTTGTGTAAATGATTTTTTCTTGCTTTAATTAAAGTGGAAAAGGTACCCAATTCCTTGTTTCTTCAAAAGTAGTACCATTGTAAATTAATTAAGACTCAATAAAAAATATCAACATATTTTAAGATTGTATATAAACTTTTTACATCATTTTTTATCATTTTTTTTCAATATTGATTACATTTGAAAGCCAATAAGAGAATTTTGTTTGTCTTCAATAAAATATTTGACCCAGAAGAATGTTCTGAATAACTTTTTAATTAAAAATTGTTCAGAAAGATAGAAGAAAATACATTAGAAACTTTTTTTTAGAATGTTGAACTAGAAACATACACTTTCCGCCAAATTTTGTGAATTGTTCAATCATAAAGTTGTAAGAGGATCAGCTGTTTTTCTTTAGTGAGTACATAAAGATAATTCAGTTTCTTAGAAAACTGTTTTTTTATCTTTAACATAATTTTCCTTTGGTTTCCTCTCAAAAATAGCACAAGTACCTATATCTGACAACCAATATGTGGCCTGCGACTTAATTCGGCCCATACACATGCATAAAAATTTAATTTGTATTAACTTCGCTTAGCATTAGCTAATGCGAAGTAATTTAATGCTCAGTAAATTAATCCGAATTAAACTAATTCGCATTTAATTCTCCATGTGAACATGCTTCAAATTTAATTCCAAACTTACGTTTAATTTGATTTAAAATCTCCGTGTGAACACTATATGAATTACCTGCTACAGATATGATTACTTCACCCTCATCATCAATATCTGCACTCTGTAGTGGTGCTATATCTGCCCAATGATACCTGATTTTCACCTGTCTGTCATGTAAGGCGTTGACTGTATGCATATCCTCATCACATGTATTGCATAATGTGGCAGCACATTGTTGGCACCTTGTATTAAAATAAAGTTTAAAATAATATTTATTTTAAGAAATATTGATCTTAAATAAAGGTAATAACAATAATGCCACACCTAATGTGTGTAAGAAATATATTAAGAATTATATGAGCAGTCAGCACATGCACAAAGCCACAAACTGACATAATAAATTTAAGTCAAGGTCAAGAGACATAATTTGCATACCTTATTAAGCATACAGTTTGATTTTGGCATTTGGAACATTCATTCAAAGGGTTTGCAAATTTAGTTTTAATCACTGCTTCAAACAAATACTGTCGTAAATTTGCCCAGTTTTCCATTTCTCGCTGTTTTCTTTTTTCCCAAATGGTTCTTTTGTCAGATGTTGTTGAATTCCTTAACTGTTCAATCTTGATTTTCAGTTCATCAACTAAAAAAATCATTGCTCGTTACATGTATCTTTATATTCACAAAACAATGATTTGTCATACAAGTATATTTAAAAATGGTCAGTGGGCATAAAATATGTTCTCTTTAATGCCCAAAATAAAAAAATTTATTTTTTGGCAGTTTTCTTCAGACCCATTAAAAAAGGACTCAACCTAATTTTTTTTTCAACCGTTTTGTGATAATGAGATTTTCCATTTTTTATTTTTGACTTAAGTTTCCGAATCTGCCAATTAATGGCTTAAATTAAGTGGAAGTTATTTAGTAATCATATGAATCCCATGATTTCTTATCACACAAAAATTTCAAAACTGAAATTTATTTTATACCTATGTACCAACTGAATCTAAAAATTATTTTATACCTATGTACCAACCCAATCTAAAAATTATCGGTCAACAACTGCAAACAAATAACATTTTAAGCTTAGCCTTAAAATTTCAATTAAAAAGTCCATGGGCAAAACTGCAATGTATATTACATATACCGGGTATATTATATTTGTAATACACACCTGATTTCAATACTTTGGAATTAATTGTGGACAACAAACCATCATGCTGAACTGAAGGTTCCACATTTACAGTCAAATTAGCCTCCTCTGTAAGCCATGTACACAAAGGTCAAAATTATGAATTATACCAATATATTTATAAAGAATTCTAAAACAACTAGATATCATTGAGATGGTGGCCATCTCAAAGGGCCCTGCTTTCAGCAATGAACATGGAAATGTAGGGTAGCTGAAAAGGGTTTATTTTGAAGAGGAACATTTTGAGTACTATTAAGGAATGTGTAGTTTGAGTCTAAAGGGCTTCTATGTTATCCTCATATAATAAAAAATGGCACGAAAATCATGAGTGCTCAATACCATCCATCAAAAAATGGCACAAAAATCACGAATGTTGCATATCCTCTATGAAAATTGTTGCATATCCTCTATCAGAAATATGGAAGGAAAATCATAAATGATCCGTACCCTCAGTCAATTGGTAAGGTTTGAGCCTGACTGGACTTAAGGGAAAGAAATTATGCACTGAACAAAGATTTTAAACAGAGATGCTATTTTTGAAATTAACCCTTGACCTAGAAACTTTGTTCAAGGTCACTGCACATCCACTGACCAGTGGCACTCTGTGAGTGAAGTATGAGCCACACTGGACCAAGGGGAGAGAAGTTATGCTCTGGACAAGGACTTTTCATATAATTCTGCTTTGACCTTAACCTTAGACCTAGAAACATGGTTCAAGGTCACTGCACACCTTTTCCCTAAGGCACTCTGTGGGTGAAGTATGAGCCAGATTGGGACAAGGAGAGAGAAAATATGCTCTGGACAAAAATTTAAACAGAGGGGTTTTTTTTTACCTTGACCCTTGACCTAAAAACTTTGTTCAAGGTCACTGCACATCCATTTACCAGTGGCACTCTGAGTGAAATATGAGGTACATTGGACCAAGAGGAGAGAAGATATGCTCCGGACAAGGATTTCACATATAATTCTGCTATGACCTTGACCTTAGACCTAGAAACATGGTTCAAAGTCACTGCACACCCTTTACCCAAAGACACTCTGTGGGTGAAGTATGGGCCAGATTTGGCCAAGGAGAGAGAAGATATGCTCCGGATAAGAGAACTCGGACGGACAGACAGACAGAAGGACAGAAGGACGGACAGACAGACTGATCCCTATAGGGCACCCGCAGAGCGGGGCCCTAATATTACCTCTAGATTTTCAATATATGACTTAGTGGATATTGATCAAAAACAAAGAAAAGCTAAAACTGTTCTTGTACATTTAAGACCTGTAGTACCTTTGTTTTGATCAGCATCTTTAAGTTTTCTCTTTCTGACAGGAAGACGAATTAGCTTGCCCTCATTATCCCTAGCTGGAAAATGGGCATATTCTCTCTTTGCTTTTTTCCTTGGAGGAGCCAATTTCTTCACAGAATTTTTCAGTTTTTCTTGTCCACTTTTAATTTGTTTTTGCAACTTGGCCAACTTGGCTAAGTTTTTTGAATTATTATCTTTTTCCATGGCATTGAATAGCACTGTTTTGAAAAGAAAAGAAAAAGATTAAGTATAGCATAAAAAAATATTCATTGATTTAAACAAATTATATAATATAAAAATATAGTATATAAATTTGCTAATTAAGCTTAAATAATCTCAATAAAATTAAATGTTACTTATGATCCTGATTACAAGACTGATTTTGTAATTTTAATAAGAGAAAAATATGTCAAAGCCAGAAAAAAAAACTCTCCGAAAATTTTGAAATTTATCTTAATTATTTTGGTTACTTAAGGGTAATCTGACAAAAAACGGGGATGTTAATGCATTTTCATCCATTTCATTTCAATTGCAGAAAGGCAACCCTAAACAAATTAACTGCAAATAAAAAAGTTAGAAGTAATTTTTTTTTAACTTCCTTATTACACTGCTATTTGATCCTCTCATATTTTTTTCTTCACTCGCCCATGTGTTTAAAGAGAAGGGCTAAAGAAACCTGTTTTATATTAACTAAAAGGTGGATTTTTGAAAGTACTTTATTGAAATAAAAAAAAAATCATAAAACTTTGACCATTAATAACATATTCAAAAAATAATTTCAAATTCATACCAACAAAGGTTAGTTAAGGTTTCAAAGGAGAGCACCAGCTGTTTAGGCAGTGCGTCTGGGGCCAACAAAAGGTCCTGATCCAAGACACAGCCTTGATTCTACAACAAATGAAGTGTACACATATAAGATGTTTTGACTGTAACAGATGGAAATGACGTAAGCTGCATATTTCCAATTTTGCCAGTTAATGTTCCTCGGTCTTATAACAGCTAGCACTTTGTGAATTCTTTGACATCGTTAATTATGATGAATAATAAAATATTAATACAAGAAATATTTAGCGGTCTTTGGAATGAAAGCTTAAATAACAACCGACCTTGGGTTAGACCCCCCCCCTCTTTTTTTTTTTGACCTAGACAGTAATCGCAATAATTAATCAATTAATAATATAACCTTTCAAGTTTCTATGAACATTTTCTTTAAATTCTTTGATATCATTTTTAAATAAAACAAACTTAACTTATACTAAGGCCTAAATAAACATTTCAACTTTCTTACCTCGTATCAGGTTTCGTCATTAAATCAGCTGCAAATATAGGTCTGGAACTACATGCAGGCCTCATTTTCATGGTGGCAGCGGATTTGCGATATTTTTACATATAAGATGAATAATTGTGCATAATATTTGTACCAAATACGCATCAGAATATCCTTTTTTATACGCGTTAAAACACTCCGCTTCGTTTATATATATAGGTCAGCCTCCCGTACCATGTGTACCATTATCGGAACACTCTACTAACGTTACTTCAGCGATGATAATGTCCGATGCCTCCCGATAGATATCCATTATACAGTAGAAATGGTACTGTGTAAGAGGATATGTCAACAGTAAATATTTTACTATATAAGACTGAGCATGCGTTGATCTTTATGAATGGACACATAGTAAATTACAGATGGCAGTAATTAACTACATCTTTTATGTGATAAAGATGATGATGATTGTGATTATAATAAGATGATAATTAGTAAATCAATTCACTTAACATTAAAACATATAGCATTTATTAGAATAATTAATATTTTTTCAATCTGTGACAAATATTTTTCTCGAGATCGTTAACATGACAACAAAACAGATGCATATTACACTGTCAAAAACAGATTTAAACCTTCAGAAACTTGTTTTCTTTCAGTCAGGTATAAAAATATTTTACGTAACAGATTGGACAACTTGCTTTTTTACTTTTAATTTATATATGTATATAATAACTAATATAACATGTATTTATTTCCATTTTCAATAGACTTAGATTCGATATTTGATAACTATTCATTTCCAGTTTCTGTAGACGTCCATAATTTGTTAAATATGTATGCTGTTTATATACAGAAAGGAAAGGCATAGGCTTGAAAAGTGTATTTTTCATATTTATCACTATTATTCAGTTTTCATGAATTGCTTGCCTACATTTTTTCTTTGTATACTCTATGTCGTTTGCTAATGTTAAAATTGATTGCTTTTGAAAAAGGAAAGCCTATTGTAGATGCGTATTATCAAAAGAATCTAAAACTAATGATATTTCTGAAACACTGAGTATTCCACTGTCTACTTTTGTTTCACGAACAAACTATTGAAAAGGGGAAAGAGGTTAAGCACATGGAAACAGCTGGTAGGAAACTAACTCAATTTCTCTACACTGTCTTTTTTCTTACTGAGCAGATATCCAAGCCTTGTTTCATCTTTAAATGTTTGTTCCCTATGTCTACCGCCTTTTTCATTTAACTAAATTCCTCTTCTTTTTAAATATTGTTACCATACAATACAAAGTAGATAGTGAAATACATGAACATGTATATATCAAATATAAGATAGAATGTTTGATGCATTGTATGGATCAAACTATGCAATTCATTATACCATCACACCTCTACGCCATCAACTGAATTTAAGGACTGGCTTTTAAAAGGAATTTAATAAGATTCCCTCCATAATTGTAACAATATTATATATTGTAGCCTGCATTTTGGCCTTCATTGAGCGAGAGCCTGTCTCAAATAATCATTGTTTTCTTCCTCAAACCTGTAAGAATGATTTAGTTATGTCTTCTGTAAAACTCAAAATACATAGATGAATGTACACATTTAAATGTACTTTAATTAGATTTAACTCAAATTAGAAAAATAACATTTGAAAAAAGAAACATCTGTAATATGAATTATAACTACTGAGTCTTCACAACAACGAAAATCGAATTCTGAGTTAGTTCAATTTTTTGCTATTCTTTGAACAAGGTGCATCGGTTCAAATATTTTATAATATTCAGTATCTGATGTATATATTAACTACATTATTGTCGCTATCACCAACGTGCAATAAAAAAGATTCTTTTAAAAAGTAATTTTATTTTTATGAGGCTATAAAAAGAGGCCAAGCGCTCCAACAAATTATATTTTACTATTTAAGCGTTGATTTAGAATACTACTGAAGTTTGTTGACCTGTTTGTTCACATCTGCTACACTCATTCTTTCTTAATGAATCGAGGATATCGTATGACATATATTTAAATACAACAAACATCGGAAGGGTGACTGACTTTTCTTTGGAGAACGTTATAAGGACGATGTTGTTTTCTCAAGCCATTTTTGTGTGTTCTCTAATTTATCTAGCTTATGGATTGCAACTAAAGGCCAGTTATGAATACAAATACAGCTTTAAAGGCCCCCACCTGATCCAGAGCAACAATAGCATCCCATTCTGGGATTACGGGGGAGGTAAGACTTACACTAAACGTGTCCTGATTTGTTGGTACCATGTTTCATGGCAGGAAATTAAATTTCTAAATTTTATATATGCTTGAATAAATTAATGAATGAATATAAAGATAGATAAACAAAATAGTGGTAGCTTGAAGTCATTATTTTAGTTATGCATATAAAAATGTATGGACGTAAAGTCGCCATTCCGAATACTACAATGTATTATTAAAACGGAACACCGTGTAAATCTCTTCGTTCACATCGAAACAGTCGCCTGCGTAGCGCAGTGGTTAGAGAGTTTGCTCTAGAGTCGCGAGGTAAGGAGTTGATCCTTACGTCGCGGGTTCGAATCCCACTGTGGAAAGGTGGAGACCGGTCCTTCGGATGAGATCGTATAAACCGAGGTCCCATGTCGCAGTAGGTGCTGCCAAGAAAAAGATCCCTCACTGCTCAATGGCCGTAAGTGCCGAGTATAGGACAAAATTTGCAGCTATCCACCGGCAAGTGGTGGCGTCTCCATATGAGTGAAAAATTCTCGAGAGGGACGTTAAACAACATTCAAACAAACAAACAAACACATCGAAACATGACCGAGTCAAAATATTGTTAGATTTCCATAAAGATAGAAGTAATGTATTTTTGCATTAAAAATGGGTGGTGAATTTACTCAATTGCTGCATTTGAAATGGAAGATCTATGTCTAAGGTTTTATACAGATTTGCTTAGAGGTTTTTAACGTCAAAATACGACTATATAAATGGTTCCTGTTTTGCTGACGCAAGGGTTGACAATAGTTTTCCTTGGTTTGTCAATTTCAACTGTTACCCTCTAAAACAGGCACCATTTATTTTATTATACTGAATGTCTTATTAATTTAGGATGTCAGAAAAAAAATCGTCGATCGTATCTACCTTTACGTTTAGAAAGCTTTCAAACTCCCCTCTAATATATTTCTCAATAAGAAAGCTTTGAAAAAGATTTACCGACCTCTTTATTATTTGTTTGATATTCAATGAATCTTTATTATCTAAAGTTTCGTTATTTCTGTACTCGCAGGAATTAGTCGTATGTCGTTTGTTGTTTTCAAGTAAGCTACATCGGACGCAAGCTTTTATTGACTACAAGTTTATAAGGCTTCTGTCAAACGCAAAACAGATGTTTCGAAAATTCAACGGTGACCCGTAGGCGCCTAATTTGAACGCATGTAACAATTTCCTTGTGTTACCCGTTGTCAAGTGTGTTGCTAACGCCGAGATTAACATTTTGGATTGTTAAATGCGTCTACACCAATCAGATTCTAGTATTTAACATGAAAGTATAATAAATTTATATGTTGAATATCCTACCTATCGATCATTAAATTAGTATTTGCTTGAGCATTTCATTTGTTTTTGAAATGAAGCGAATTTGAGAAAAATGGTATGAATATAACGAACAGTGATCAATGTAATATAGAAACATATCATCAAAACAAAATTGTGAACAGGGCATAAAACGGTGAGAATTCTGGAGATGTCCAAGATTGAATTCGATATTGATATCGACGATATCGACAATATTATGTTGATATCGTATCGATATCGATCCGAATCAGTACTATTAAATTGGAATTACTGGATACCATATATAAGACTCATTGCTATGTCGAAACCATCGACATCGAACTACCGTGAGGATATCGATATCGACCCTGGTCTGTTAAATTTATTTTCAATTTCATATATATAGCATGTTGACGATATTGAGAGCAGGGCGAACTTAGTTCATATGCAAAAGTCTTGCAAATAAAAATACATGCACAAGAACGATGACAAAAAAATGACTTGATATCGATACAATATAGTCAATATCAACGATATCGATGAAAAATACAATCTTCGTCAATGTTAAGTATTCAAACGTTGACACACATATACCATGACAAGGACGGTACTTACCAAGGGTTGACGATTACGACACTATACGGATACTTCATGAATTAATAGTATTGAAGTTATTCACATATTAAAAAGCCACAGTATTTTTTTTGGGGGGGGGCATAAGAAATGGAAAAATCTTGATTCGATATTGAAACGATATCTTGACAGAAAGGAAAACTTCGTGAACTAAAAGTATTCTAATATACGTATAAAGAAATAAAGTGGCAAACCATAAAAAATAATCTTTAGATATCGTAACTGCATCGTATCTTGCACATATTTCGGTTCCTAAGAGGAGAAAGCATCCCCTGTCGACCGGTCACACCCACCGAAAGCCCTTTGTATTGATCACGTAAACTGTATAACCTTTGGTCATATTGAGTATAAAAGCAATGGCCTAGCAAATTACTATGAAATATGTTAGTCAAAATACAACCCAATGATAGGTTGTATTATCAAAGAAAACATTATTAAGTTCATAGAATTTCTGTAATGCTGACTTTAGACGAGCTTGATAAAATCTCATGAAATTTACATTAACTTATTTGTCAGTAGCCCGACTCGTTTCAAAATTGATCGAACTCTGGGCGTGCTCTTGCATATTGATTAAATATGGAGACAAAAGCACCATATGAAGGAAAAAGCGGAATCTCACAGACTAGAACAAATGTGATCAAAGTTAGTAATCAGAAAAACCATAGTGAAGTGATGTACAATCCTGTAGTGGTGATTTATTTTGATATTTTTTCAGATGCTGTCGCTGATGATGATTATATCAGATTAACTCCCTATAGAAGAAGCATGAGAGGTAACAAGAGAGGCCTTATAAATATATTTAGATAACAATTTAAGACTTTATAAATAAAACAGTGTACTATTAGAACTGAGATAGAGTAAAGGGGGAATATATTTCTTCCGTTTTGTTTAGTTGCATTTTGGAAGGAAAATTCATGTTTTCAATAATTGCTTATTCGTATCAATGAAGAAGTTTAATGTCTTTTTGACTGACTAATTTGAAGCATAAAATATAATGTAGATATATATTTGATTTCTTCAGTTTTGAGAGCAATTTTCTTTCTCTCTCTCTTTTTTTTTTTTTTTTTTTTTTTTTTTTTTTTTTTTTTGGATAGGATGGATCTGGACCACTCTG